ACAGAGGAGTCTGAAGGCCGAGGACAGACCCTGGTGTGTAGGGGAAGCTGAAAGAGTCCTTTGGCACAGTGCAATGTCACTTAGTGCCCCAGTGGCTTCAAGGATCATTTGCAGGAATGTGGGGGACAGGCCAGCAGCTGAGGCTCAGGAAGGCTACAGCCTGCTTCAGAGCAGGCCTTCCCCGCCACATCGTGGGGTGGAGCCCTGCTATTTCCTTCTTTGGGCTGACTTCTTTTCTACCAAAGAGAGGTAGCTTTTGTGATAAGAAAAAAAATCAATAGATATTACCACAGAAAAGGCTTGTTTCTGCGTGGATCCGATAGCACAGCATGGCTGGGACCACGGGAGCTGCATTCCTTGAAGCCTGGGAGGAGAAGGGGCCCATGGCTGCCATGCACCCCACACTTGAGTCAGGAGACATTTGGCAGGTGGAAAGCAGAGCCCGGGCAGACTGACAGCGTCTGTGTGGGGTTTGCTCTGTGCTGACTCCCTCCACTCCCTCCCATTTTTTGGAGGGAACAGAGTGCTTTCAATCTGACATGAGCGTTTCAGGAGTTTAAAGAAGTATAGGAGGGGGCTGGTTTGGCATTTCTCAGGGTCTTTTCCAACCCTGGATAATTAACCTGGCCCACTGTGTTGGGGAGAAATTTGAGGCTGAGGAAGGCGACCAGCCGATGGTCACCATGTGGTGGGACCTGAACTGGATGGAGCCATGGCAGTGAAATCAGCCTCACGGAGGGCAGCATGGACATGTGAGCGCAGTATGGCGAGCTGCTAATCATGAAGCTCAGCAATCAGCCTCCCACTCCCCACCCCCCACCTCCGAAGCATGGCTCTCACCTTCAGAGCAGCCAAGAGTGGCGCTCAATCTTCTTATTAGGCCATAAATATTCTAATTAGGGAACGTGGGAAGATGAGCGGGATTAGCAGGTGGGGCAGGGACCAGAGAGGCACTTGAGCCCTTTGTACCTCATCTGAGTTTCTCCTGACATTTAATCACATAGAAGCACTCACTTCATACAGCTCTCCTAATTAGACACATGGCAATCGTGCTTGTGGGCTTCCCACTTCCTAAGGATAGCTGCCTGCTTGAGCCGGAAGTGGGTCCAGAAGGGACCTGTTCATGGTACCCTCCCCAAAGACTGCCTGTTGCGTGGTGGTGGACAGGATGTGCTTACAAGAGAGAGATCTGGCTGTGTTCGTGTATAGGTGGGGCAGGTGGTGGGTGTGGTGGAGAAACGGCCCTCTAAGACCTGCCACACAGTCTGAAGCTTCTGTGGAGACAAATGGCTTCTTGGGCAAGTAATGCCTTGGCTCTGGCTCTGTCCTGTGCTAACAGTTGCCACTGCCCCCTTCCCAGTTCACAGATGCCTGGGGACAGTTAACCAATGTGCCAGGAGGTGTCTGTGCGAGGCTAGTGTACCACAGAGACCTGCAGGGCAGGGCCCTCAGAGCACAGGGCACATACCTGTTCCAGAAGAGTGTGTCTATGAGAGCTCGTCCCCTCCAGAGACTCTGTGCTCACCAGTGGCCTGTGTCTATGAGAACTCCCTCCCACCAGTAGCCCCCACCCCAGAGGCTGAGAACCTGAGTAGAGAACTTGAAAAAGAACATTCTGGAGGCTTCCCACCCCCAGGGAGTTCCCTTCCACTGGGAAGAAGAAATGAGGAGGAGGGAAATCAGGGAGAAGAGGGATGAGGGAGGGGGGAAGAGGGATGAGGGAGGGGGGAAGAGGCATAAGGGAGGGGGAGGAGGGATGAGGGAGGGGGGAAGAGGCATAAGGGAGGGGGAGGAGGGATGAGGGAGGGGGAAGAGGGATGAGGGAGGGGGAAGAGGGATGAGGGAGAGGAAGAGGGATGAGGGAGGGGGAAGAGAAATGAGGGAGGGGAAGAGGGATGAGGGAGGGGGAAGAGGGATGAGGGAGGGGGAGGAGGGATGAGGGAGGGGGAGGAGGGATGAGGGAAGGGGAAGAGGGATGAGGGAGGGGGAAGAGGGATGAGGGAGAGGAAGAGAGATGAGGGAGAGGAAGAGGGATGAGGGAGGGGGAAGAGGAATGAGGGAGGGGGAGGAGGGATGAGGGAGGGGGAGGAGGGATGAGGGAGGGGGAGGAGGGATGAGGGAGGGGGAGGAGGGATGAGGGAGGGGGAGGAGGGATGACAGAAGATGGAGAAGATGGAGAGAGAAGGGAGGGGAAGAGCAGGAGGAAGGGGTGCTGGAGAGATAAAGAAGGAAGGGGTTGGTATCACTGAGCCCTCTAGCATCCACTCTCCCAGATACCACACCATCACCAGGTGGGGGTGGCTAAGTGACATCTCAGGCTAAATTGACAGGTCCCTTGATGGAGCCAAGCCTTTGAGCCCTCAGCCTGGTGAGTACTTGGTGCTGGGCACACAGGGGCAGTTTCTCCAAGGGAAGAGACTGGATTCCATGGCAACAAAATGGAAGAACTTTGTGTGGCTCATAAGGTGTCCTGGGCACCAGTTCTATCTCCAGTTCACAAAGGCAGCCAGCCAAGCTCCAGTGATCCATGGGAAGATTGGCCCAGATGCTGGTGTTCTGGATCTGGCTTGAGAAGACAAGTGTGGCCAGGGGAAGGCCCAGGAGTCTAGGCACCTATGACTCCAGATGGTCGGTCATAGACAGGACTTTCTGTGCCTGGACCCTGGGGACCAGTTCCTGGCAGGGACTGTCTAGGGCCCTGCGGTGTCTCTAAGCCCTCTCATGCACTGTCCCCAAGGTACACACGGTTACTGCTCCCCTCCTGGAAGAACACGTGGAGTCAGGGCCCGACTCTGTTTCTTCATTGCCTGGGTAACAGTGCAGGACACAGATGAGATGCTCAGCACTCACAGTGGAGCGTGCTCTGTATCATCCTCTACCCATGTATTACAGGCTTTGCTTGGAGCCCTGCTGCCTTTTTTTGTGACAATGTCTACTGATGTGCCTACGAGGCCTCCTTCTCTAGCCCTCATACCTGGATGGGTCTCCTTTGTACCCTGTACCTCCTTATTGGGCCTTGTCATGGTCACCCTTTCTGCTCTCTCTGAACATAAGGAAGGCCAGATCCTCCCAGCTAAGGACAGCATGCTAAATGCAATCATTTTTGTTTGAAATTTAATCTAGTGCCTATCCCTGGTGGCTCTCACGCCTCCAGAACTTCACGGAGTTAAGCCTGAAGCCAGCTGCATCCTTTAGACAGCAGCCCCTAGTTCATCCCTACTCAACTGTTGTCTGTTTGCTGTTTCCTCTCCATCACTTGGTTCTGTTTCTCGAGGATGAGATGGAAATGGTGGAAAGAAGAGAATTTTGCTGGAATTGAACAGTATCAATTAAGTCATTGAGGAAGACAGGAGAAAGCAGGTCACCACAGTGTCCCCGACCAGCCCTAGAGGAGGAGAAGGAGAAAGAGAAGGAGGAGGAGGAGGAGAGGGAGGAGGAGAAGGAGGGGAGGAAGGAGAAGGAGGAGGAAGAGGAAGAGGAGGAGGAGGAGGAAGAGGAGGAGGAGGAGGAGGAGGAGGAGGAGGAGGAGGAGGAGGAGGAGGAAAACACTGAGGCTGAGGCCTGCTCCATCATGCCTGCCCATGCTGGGCTCAGTTTCTCCTTGGAGAAGCACTGGGATAGGTTGGATGTCTAAGGCAAGCTCAGCCACGTACCCTGCCAACTGCCAACCCCAGCTGCATATAACACCCCCTAATGTTTCTCTGTCTTCATCAAACACACACACACACATGCACACACACACACCTCTGACCCTTAGAGCCCAAAGGCCAGCACTGTCATCCCTTTGCAGAAGAAGCTGCTGTGACTGGGCTCAGTGTCCTCTTACATGCTTGTGGTCATACAGCCAGCGAAGGCCACACCTCAGCTGAGTCCAACCCACACCGTCTCCGAGGCCATTACCCCTTCCTTCCATGCCACACAGCTACAAAGGGTCACCGTCCAAGTACCACCCTGTGCACCGCCTCTTACAACTTAGACGGTCAGGGATAGTGTGAATTTTCCAGAGAGCTCTGAGTTTTAGAACCAAGATGGAAAAGAAGGCCTCAGGTGCCCCATAGCTTGCAGACCTGCCAGATTCCCCGGGTGTGAGCACTCCTAGGGAGGAGACCTGCTACTTTCCTGCCAGTTTGCTCCCACATCATATCACCATGAGCCCCTAGTTATAGCTGAGCAGCCCAGGCCTGTGAAGACCTGCAGACCCCGACAGTGAGGCTGTGGAGCTTTCAGAAGTTTGAAACGGGAACAGCCGGGCCACCAAGACAGAGTACTGCTAGGAGGCTGCTGCCACACTTCTACAGAGGAGCCCCCAAATTGTGGGTGCCTCTCTGGTCAGCGGGGCCCTCCCTCCTGGTCCCCAGTGAGTATTTTACATCTGTGGTGTGGCCGGCCTCTGTGGTCTCAGGGTACACAGAAAGCCAGACTGTGGTGAGGGCAGACAACACTGTCCACACACTGCTGGCTGTGGGCTGTCTGTAGGGGCTGTCTGCAGATCTTCCGGACCCTGAAGTGGACCGGACAGGATAGGTGGTCAGTTCTACGATTTCTGGTGGGTTTTTAGCTGGTCTACCTCTCTCACACACATGCCAGGTCATAGAACCCTTTCTAGGTAAGTGACCATCTGTCTCATGATCTGGGCAGGGCTTGGTGTCCAGGAAACACCCTCTTGTGCCTGTTATGTCCTGGAGGGTGCACAGCTACTCACTTGTGGTGGTTGAGCATATCTAGGTCAGCTCAGGGAGGCAGGCTTCAAAGGACCCCAGATCTGGAGTACAGTGGTGACAGGGTCCTGAGAACTAGGGAGTCCATCCCAGCCTTTCCAGGACCCTGCTGTGATGTTACACTTGGCTTGCTCAGGGTGTCAGCTGGTGACTGCCCAAAGCAGCAAGGTGAGCGCCCTCTAGTAGGCAGGAGTCAACATGGAGCATCATGTGGATCACTTTCTAATCGTGCATTTGGATCACAATACTCGCTGCTCCCATGTGGCCCACAACCCATCTCACCTCCCGGTCCAGGCCTGCTGCCACTGTCACGATGTCCCCTGTTTCACTGTTGATGGTGAACATGTTCTGGGACGGACTCTGGGGTGTCTGGGTGACGATCCGGTACCGCACCATACCATTGGCCGTAGTACTGTCATCGGCATCATTGGCTGTGACAGTCATCACGTATGTACCTGGAACAGACATCAGGTCAGACGGGGACAGTGTGCTCCCCAGACACCCAGGGCAGACATCTCCAGTGGATCCCAGGGCTCTTGATGCAGCAGCATGTGCCTGCAGCATCCTTCCCCGAAGTGTGGCCTGGGTGCTGCCATTTGTCTGAGGTAGCTCAAGAGCAAGCCTCCTCACCACTCCACAGCACCCGAGAGAGCCCTCCTAAGCTCTCGGTTCCCCTGACTCTGTTCTGAACTTCTCCTTGTTGTGCAGAGGGCAGGGCAGACCTGGAAGAGGAAGTGTTTTGTTCAGTTTTGGGGGAGCTGAATCAGGACTGCCAATGCCCTGAGCCACAGGACCTGAGGCTGGTGAAGAGTGAGTCCGGTGCAAGGCTGCTTACTGAGGACCAACTGATCCTGCACCAAGTCTTGCTGGTGGGGTATATATAAACGGAGGGGCTCCATAAAGAGGTTGTTATTGAAATACAAATCACACACATAAAGTTTGTCCTTGAACAAAACAAGCCCAAGGTTTTGATAACCTCATGAAACTGAACATAACTGTCTCCACCACCTAACTGCAGAAGGCAATCCTCACCCTGAGGGAAAGCCACTTGTCACTCTGTCCCCCTCCCAGCCTCCTCTCTGCTTGCTATTTCCCCAGATTTGCCTGTTCCAGGCACTCCATGTGAGTGATGTCGTGTAACCTGTGGCCTTCTGTGTCTGGCTTCTTTCACCAAGCCTAGAGCTTTTGACCCTCCCTCCTTTTTTATGACTGAATACTACTCCATTGTGTGACTGAGAAAAGCCACTCTACACCTACTGACGGAACACTTTTGGAATACTAGACATCATCATACCATGTACTTAGTTTTATGAATGAGGTCATCCAGAAAAATGACATCCCCTCCTTTTCACTACTACTGAGAAAGGCAACCCAGACAGGCAGAGACACTGAACTGAAAATTAACAGTGCTTCTAGAGAAGAAGTGAGGCCATATCCATGAAAGGACACACAGGTTAACTGAGTGAGAAGGTGGACTGTAGCCATTCCCCATAGCACGTGCCTGTGATCTCGGTACCCAGGACGCTGAGGCTGGAGGATTGCCACCAATTTGAGTTTGGTCAGGTCCCAGGCTGCACAGTAAGACTCTCTCACTCTCTCTCTCTCTCTCTCTCTCTCTCTCTCTCTCTCTCTCTCTCACACACACACACACACACACACACATACACACACACACACACAAAAAAAAAAAAACTAGCAAAAAAATGTGGCCTGCAGAGGGGGCAGGAAAAGCCTCTCTGAGAGAGAAGGAATTGGGATGTGGACCCAGGCCACGGAAGCAAAGGTCCTGGGGGAGAGCTCTGCCTGTGGAGAACAAGTGGGTAGACCAGACGCTGGGCTGGGTGTGTCCTCAAGTCACGGAGTTCGTATCCAGGAGGATGGAGGGCGGAGTTTGTTTAGTACGTTCGTAACAGAGAACTGGCTACATAAACTAGGGCAGGTGCCTGCTGTGACTGGACAAGCCTGGAGATGCTGGAGGAGAGCACTCAGGACAGAGCTCCATGGTGTACAGTGAAATGGATTCCAGTTTCCACACTGGGTCCACTGAGGCCAACTCCGGGCTTTGAAATAACGTGTGTGACACAGAGGACAGAGACTGGTGCACACAACCGCACACACAACCCGTAACAGGTGTGTTAGGCGTGTGGCATGCTAGGCAAGATCTGGCCATTTTCTTTAGTCCGTTTAAGAGTGAGGAAATGTCACTTGGGCATCAGAAGATAGAATGTGTGTGAGGAGTGGGAAGGAGAAGGGAGGGAGGAAGGGAGGGAGGGAGGGAGGAGGGGAAGGAGAGAGATGGGGGAGAGGAACGGGGTAGAGAATGGGAGGAAGGGGGAGAGGCCAGCGGAGCGGGGCATGGACACTGAAGTTACTGAGGAACACAGAGGGTTTCTAGAGCCTAAACCACAATTTGGAAATGGTGAGACCTGGCTGTGTTCATGGCTAGCCTGTAGGGTGAGGTGAGAATGCTCCAGGCTTGAACACTTTGAGCCAAAAGGAAGAAGCAGGTCCATGGGTTGCCATGGTAACGACCCAGGAACATTCCCAGCCCTGGGGGCAGAGCAAAGGCTCAGCAGTTTTAGTTTTTCTTTCTGAAAGGTGCAGAGAGAAGAGGAGGAGAAGGATGGACTGACTCCCTTTTGAAACCTGGAAAGCAGCCCTGGCTGGGGAAGTAGCCTCCGCTGTGTTGCCAAGGGACGGTCTAGACCCCAACGGCCCCTGTACTGTGCCCTCAGCAGGCCCTTGAGGGTGTCTGACAGTCTGAGGGGCAGGCTCCCGGGCAGCCTCTGCCATTGTTTACTTCTTGCGAGCCTCAGCATAACCCTCATGCTTGAGAGGGGGTTGCCCTCTCTAACTCGCCCCTTCTTGGATCTCTCGCTCCTTCCTCCCAGTGTACACCACAGAAGAGCTACTTTCTCCCACAGAGGTGAAGGCTGCCTCTCTCCCTCCTCCTGCTCCTGCACCTCTGTTGTCCTTCCAATCACTTGAACCACTGCAGCCTTCCTGTGACTTCCAGGCCTCCATCCTCGCCCCTCTGTTCCCTCCTGAGATCTAGGACTTCCTCCCTCTGACCAACACTGTCCACTATTCTCTGGGTCCTCTGCACAGGTTCAGAAGACCTCTGTGCCAGGTGGCTTCTCCCCTGCCTCAGTCTACTCTACCATTTAATGGCCCCTCCTCACTCCTGGGCCCTCCCCTGCCTCTGCTTCCCACAGCTTTGTTGGGAGCTGCTGCACAACTGTCCTGCATTCCTCACTGTCTCCAGGGGTGGTGATGAGCTCAGGTCACATCCGTCCAGCCAAACCCCAAGGCGCAGGGTGCAAAGGAGTGAAGATGTTCACTGCAGGGTGTGTGAGCAGACAGACAGAAGGAGAATGAGAGGGCCGAGAAGTGCAGAGTTAGAGAGGACAACCACCTCTCAAGTCCTCTCTGGGGACTGTGGGAGGGAGGTGTGGCCATCTGAGAACCATCCCAGGACCATGCAGAAAAGCCACATGCAGTCAGCCAGAAGGTGACAGAAAAGGAGACATCAGCAGAGAGGGCCAGGACACAGGCTGGGCAACGGCTGTGGGGGCAGAGACATCCTTTCATCACAGGGAGGGATGGTCTGCACTGCCTCATGGCCACGCTGGGAGCATAACTTATATATAAAGACCCATGTCTGACCCCAACAAAGGTATGTGGAGGAGCAGATTCAATAGCCCTTCCACAGGGCTTCCCAAACAGGCTTTCACTTGTAAACACACCACCGTAGAAGCAGCTAGTAGCCTTAGTCACAGAGAAGCGCTAAGAAAGGTCTAGAAGTCCTGGGAGCAGTTGCTGGCTGCATCAGCATCCCAAAGATGGCAGCTCTCCAGGCACCCACAGGACATCATTGCCACCAGGGGCTTGGTTTTGGGTGTGGAACTGGGGTGACACAGCCATCCCTGGTGACTTAGCCCAGGAGAGAGCTTGCTGCTGGCTTGCCTGTGGCTGTCTCATGTCTCCAGAGTGACTGAATCCACACCACAGTCTCCTGGATCCTGGGTCTAGAGTATGAATGTCACAATGACCCTTCACAGCACGGTGTTCCCTTGCTTCCCCAGCGGAGTATGTTGAGTTCTGCACAGCTGAGTTACGGAGCGTTCAGTGAGCTGGATTTATTGGTCTCAGCAGGGAAGTGGGTGAATTTATTGCTATGCAGGACCCTTGAATCCCACAGACAGATGCACGGCCTTGGTGTGTGCTGGGAGGCCATGTCCTGAGTTATGGCTGCTGCCAGTGGCCTGGGGAGGACCATAGGTGGCACACATTTTTCTCCAGATTCTTGACTTTTGCTTGCATTTATTTGCAGGCCCAGTGCTGAGTCTGGGGCCTGGATCCTGTAAGGGAGGGTGCCTGGGTCTTACTCAGCCGGGGTGTGAGAGATGTCCTGGATAGAGTGTTGAGGGAGGATGCAGAGAATGTCCACACTCATTTGCAGGCCTCTGTGATCCTTGCTAAGGTCCCGGCGTTGTTCCCTCTGGCTTGGGGACAGGGCTAGTGGTCAGCCCGTGTCATCAGCAGGGCTCTGGATTCCTGGCACTGGCTTGTCTTGTCCTGCAGTTTTCGTTTTTATTTGGAGTGTCTTCACTGGGCCCAAGAAGCCACCTGTTTAGAAGGGCCTTGTCTCCCGACACAAAGGCAACAAGGGTAGGTAGGAGCTGGAGGCCGGAGGCGTCCAGGCTGGCCAGCCACACCCACAGGAGAGCACACTTACCCTGCAGGGGACCTCGCCTACACTCCAGGCTTGGCGGGAAGGCTGGGGAACTCTGAGTTTGCTGTCTGTGTCCTGGGGACTTCTTAAACAGTGCCTAGCAATGCTCAGATGGAGGTCCATTGCTTGGAAGGTCCCAGAAGAGGAGGGGGAAGCACTGGATTTCCAGTGCTTTGCCTGAAGGGGTCTGTGCTTGTCTCTTGGGATCACTGTAGCAGAGTGTCCCTGATAGAGGTTACACAGTGTTTGCCCCCACAGGCTGAGCCCATCCAGCATTAAGGGATGGGCAGATTGCTCTCCTTCCTGAGGCCCCAAAAGCTTTTCAGTTGCTGGAGGTGGTCACCAGGTCCAGGGGTCCCTGGCCACACCCCTCCAAACTCTGCCTCTGTCCTCACTGGTGTGTCAAGTATCTATGTCCCCCTCCCATCGGGGATTGACTAGCAACGTTTGCAGAGTCGACCCCCTGTTCTTAAGTAGGTCATGCTCTGAGGTTCTGTGGGCACCTGAGTTTGGGAGTCCAACCTTGTACCCATTCTTTATAGAGACTGCATGGAGGATGGGGCTGGGCTTGATACTGACTCCAGGGACAAATCACAGGGAGCTATGGCCATTGTGTGACATGTGTCTGGATTGCCTGGTTGACTTCAGAGGCCAGGCTGGGCTTGGAGCTCAGATGGGTCATCCTCAGTTCCAGATCTGAACCTGGCCATGCCCTCCCTC